CATTGGAACAGGCTGCCCAGGGAGGTGGTGGAGTCCCCATCCCTGGAGGTGTTTAAAAAACATGTAGACATGGAACTTCGGGACATGGTTTAGCAGGCATGGTGGTGGTGTGTTGATGGTTGGACTTGATCTTAGAGGTCTTTTCCAGTCTTAATGATTCTGTGATGGCAGCTGTGCTTTCTGTGGTGTAACTCAGGCTCCAGGTATGGTGCTCCTGAAATTCCAAAGCAGCCCTGAATCCCTTGCCTCTGTGGCTATTCAAAGTTCAAAGCTTCTGATCAAGAAAGTTTCATGCTTTCTGCACTGCGTTATCTTTGTGTTGTGTTTCCTTTTGACTTACCTACGTCTGTAAAATCTTAGAGTTTTTATGGACTAGGAAGGAAGCCCTGTTGACACCTTCATCCTCTCGCTTCTATGCAGACTGTGCAATCCTGAAACTGCATTTCCTAGTTCTTGTCAGCAGTCATTTGACAGGAAAACCTCGCTTCCAGCAGTGTGTGTCATGAAAGGCAAGCCCCTCGCACCCTGTTGCAAAAGCAAACACTTTTTCCTCAGCTTTCTCTGCTAAGTTTCTGTGCTCCAAAGGCCTTGGTTCTGGTCTCACTCACCCCAGTGTAAATCAAAGGGTGATCCTGCTGAGCTGGGCTGCACCCGTGTCGAAGGAAGAGCAGAAGAAGAGGGCTTTTGCTCGTCTTACTTTTAGCAATTTAATAATGCACAGCCATGGTCTAAGAGGTAGAAAGAGGGGAGAAGTTCAGTCCGCGGGAAACTGAAGTCAGCGGTGCATGGACGCATTGCTTTCCAGCAGATCTTCTGTAGCAGCTGCCCTCTCTATTTCAGCGGGAAGCAGGTCTTTGGCCACTGGTGAGGTCGCTTGTTCAGGCAGGGCGTCCTCTGTTTGCGTCTGTGGGTTAACGATGTCCATATTTGCTGAGATGGAAAACCCAGCACGCGCATAAGTCTGAGGACGGGCTGTTCCTCAGGTGTTAGTTGCATGTGTATAGGGCTTGCCCCAACATCTTGTGCTTGTTGAACAGTTCTTGTTCAAGACTTCTCACCTGAAATCATGGCTGCAAGTACTTCTATTCATTTTGTTCAGAAAACCAAGCGCAGAAAGGCTAAACAGTCTGCTGCAAAGAGCGTGGGCAGGCAGGACGCAGGCACTGCGCCATCTGCTCTCCGGCGCCGCTGGGGATTTGTTACAAGGCCCAAGGCTTGGTTTTTTACGCGAAGACAAAGTGACCTTAGACCCTCACAGGCCCTGTGGTCTCACGAAGGCCAGCAGGATGGGACAGGCAGAACCGGAGAAGCCTGCCTTTGAGATCCCCGGCCGCTTGCTTTGCCTTGGCTGTGCGGCGATGAATCGCGCTTTGTCCTGTGATCCTCTCTGCCGCTGGGCAAGCAGGGCGGGTAGGATGGGCGGTGAGGTTGGCCGAACTCCTTGCACATACCAAGGGTCTTTGTGCTCCCTGTTTCAACGCGAGTGTCTCTCTTCATTCCCCTCCTGCAGAACACAGGCCTGGCGAGCAGCAATGTTCCCCAAGCCAAATTTCCTCAGATCTCTACCATGCTATCTTGTACCAGATTTTCAGGACAATTGTTGTCTTCCTTTCTTATTCTAGCTTTTATTTTATATGATACTTGGACTGCCCAGTTTCTTCATCTTTTCTTTATTTCTGCCTGGAAGATGAGAGCAAGAGAAAAACAGGAAGGCATGTTACACCACGAGACCCTACAAGCTGTCACCACCCAATATTTTCTGGCCTCAGTGCTGCTAGAAGAGTTGGGATGGTGCAGCGGTGGCTGTGCTAAATGTCCCTCCTTAGCCCCCTGCTTCGCTGGCCCTTGCGCGTACAGGTGTGCCTCCTAGCTGAACATTGCCTTTGCACTTTGGTGAGTAATTATCTTCACTCGTATTCATTTCAGATACTCAGGGGTTTACTGGCTTTGATGCCTACACCGCCCAGGTTGTGCTTCTCCAGCCGCTGACAAGTATCTCAAGGTCCTGTTTAGCGGGTGCTGGAGAAATGTGCTGTACCCGAGGAGCTGCCGTTTCCACCGGGGAGATGCTCTCTGTGCTCCCCCTGAACCATGGCCTGTGCTGCCCAGAGTCCTGCCAGCTGCTTGTTTCCAGCTCCGGCCATGGAGTTACGGGGCGAGTGAGAAATGAAATGCATCTTTCCTCTCTTGTGCTGAAGGTTAGTGGTGGCCAGGACTTTCAGCTGGAAGATGGGAGGCTTGCAGAAAGGCTTGCTGTTGAAAAAGGGCAGAGAGAATGGGCTTCATTCTTGCTCTGTTGTTTTAACCACTTCTCTGGGCAACCTGTTCCAGGGTTTCACCACACTCCTTATAAAAAATTTTTTTCCTTACATCTAGTCTAAATCTACCCTCCCTTGGTTTAAAGGCATTGCTCCTTGTCCTATCACTGCGTGCCCTTGTAAAAAGCCCCTCTCCAGCTTTGTTGTAGGCCTCCTTCAATTACTGGAATGCTGCTATAAGGTCTCGCAGGAGCCTTCGCTTCTCCAGACTGAACAACCCCAAGTCTCTCAGCCTTTCCTTGTAGGAGAGGTGTTCCAGCCCTCTGATCACTTTTGTAGCCCTCCTCTGGACCCGCTCCAACAGGTCCATGTCTTTCCTGTGCTGAGGGCTCCAGAGCTGGAGGTGGGTTCTCACCAGAGTGGAGTAGGGGGCAGAATCACCTCCCTCAACCTGCTGGCCATGCTTCTTAAAACTTCTTTATTGCTTCTATAGGTATTTTTCTCATATTTATTATTTATTTCAGTTTCATTCAGTCATAAACACTATGAAGTTTTCAGAGTATTCTGATGTTTTCATGTTTACAAAAAAGTATTCATGTTAATTTATTTGTAGAATCATAGAATACTTGGGGTTGGAAGGGAGCTTTAGGGGTCATCTAGCCCAAACCCCCTGCAGTGACCAGGGACATCTTCAACTAGATCTGGTTGCTCAGAGCCCCGTCCAACCTGGTCTTGAATGTTTGC